TCCCGCGCCCAGCACAGCTGGGTTACTGGCCCGCACTGGGCAACGCAGCAAACAGGGGGCCCTCCCCCAGTGCCCGAGCCGGGCAGCGCAAGGTGCAAAGGGGGTGCTCCCCCCCCATGGCCACATTGGGCCGCACGCTAGGGGCATTCCCAACGCCCTGCCGGGCAGCGCATGGCATGAGGGCTCCCCCAGAGGCCGGTGCAGGCAGCACAGGGCGCGCAGCCACCAGGGCACTGCCGGCGCCTGGGCCCAGCCGCTGTACCGCTCACTCACGTGCCAGCGTGCACAAACGCTGGCGCCGCAGGTGCCAGCCGGCCTGCGCCAGCAGGCCTGCGCCAGCCGGCCTGCGCCAGCGCATGCTGGGCTGCCAGCGCTAGGGGGCGCCGCGCGCAGGCGCCCCCCAGGCAGCACGCCCCCAGCAACCGCAAGGCAATCCAGGATGCAGGCGCCGCCTATCCCCAGCGCGCACCGCCCGCCAACCGCAGGGTAGCACCGGTGGTCACCCCCAACCGCCACCCCAAACGGCTAGCAAGCCGCACATGCCCCGCACCGCAGCCACTCCCCGCAACCGTGCCGGCGCCCAGGCCAGCCGGCCCGGGCCCCAGCTCCAGGATGCGCTTGGTGGCGGGCTCCTGCCGGGCAGCCTCCTCGTCACCGCCCTCCTCGCCAGCCGCCGCCGCCTGCTGCGCGGCGCCCTGAAGGCGGGAAACATCGACAGGCGCAAACCGGAAGCCCGGCGACGGCGGCGGGGCCCCCAGCTGCTCCCACTCCGCCTCAGTGATGAAGGGGTAATCCGACTCGAGGTCAGCCCAGCTACCCGTCATCAGGGCCCGCACACTGGTGGCGACGCGCTCCAGCTGCGCCTCATCGGCGCTCGGCGGCACCACGCCCACGCCCGCCACTGGCAGCACGAGCTCACGGCCGCTCTGCTCCACCCGCACCGCACACTTACTGCCCTCCACTCGCTGCACACTGCCCGCGAAGGCCTTCGGAGTGATGATCCGATCTTCATCGCTGCAACGCACCATGGCCAGTCCAATCACCCGCGACCCGGGCTGCGGAGGAAGGTTCTCATTGTTCTCCGCCATGGCGGCAAACGGGTGCTGTTTACGCGGGCGGAGATGGAAACGGTGAGAGTTGGGCGGGACGGATGCGAATG